CACAATATATATAACGGGTCTTCGCATCAAAACGTATTCATAATATTTTGCTTCCTTTTTGCTTTTTTTTTGCCTGTTGAACTAAAGTGGATATATAATTCGTTACAATGGGATATAAAGCGATACGCATTGTCAGACGACTTCAAGAAGATTTATTGAGATTCAAAATGGTTTCATTGTCTTTGAAACCTGCCTGTGTCCCGGCACAGTATTCCGGGTAAACGTGTTTCGTCTTTGATCATAGGCAGCCCAAAAATGCGTGGCGACATTTTTACCCTCGCGCGTGGCGCTCGGGTGTGCATCGAGTCTACTTTGTTTATTATTATGACAAGGTTGGCAAGAGTTTTAACGGAAATTTATTACAGCGTTCACCAGAGTATGAATATTTCGCAAATTACAAGCAAAAACAATATAAAATATACATCATTTCAAACACTGGTAATTTTACTACAAGTTTTAACTTCAAAAGTTCATTCTTTCTTCAAAAAGCGAATTATTTTCGGGTTTTTTTCAAAATTTTGTCAAAACTATGCTGGGGTCACGTACCATGTGATGTTGTCATATTTTTAAAATCTTGGCTGAGCGTGATTCGCTGTTGTACATAAAGTAAAAAGCAAATTCCGAAAATACAGGACATCTTGAGAATTCAATATATAATTCAAAACAAGACGCAGTTTGAGACTGTAAATTTTCGACTTTATTTCAAAGTCATCTTCAGACAGAATGAAATACAATACTTTACAACACATATATATATATATATATACAACGCAGAGAGAGAGCATCTGTCATGTGGGCGGAAAGAAGGATTATCCAAGCGAAGCGAAACATGATAAAGAAAATAGTAATAACTGAAAATGGAATATTTAGCTTCGCTATATTTACAACAATGTTTAATATATTAAAAGGAACAAGATAGAAAGGTAAGACCCGACAAGTAGAAGAAGATTAAGTTAAAGTGTTATGTGAACAGTTGTAGTTCTTTACTAGCTTTAAGTCCAGTGTTAAGAAAAGGTTTGTTATGTTTGATAAGCAGTGCTTCAAGAAAAGCAAGAATGTTGTAGTTGTTAGATTTTGTAATGTGAAGTATTCTGTAGCTGTTGAAAACAAGGTTTTCAATAGGAGAAGAGTTGTCAGAAGGCAAAGGAAGATCGTTGAGTAATGTGAACTGGTCTTGTAAAGTAGTTAAGAATTGAGCATGCATGTTCACACTCAGAAAAATGTTGGCCCACTGCACTAGAAGAGAGCCTTGTTGCATGCTCTTTCAAACGTACAGAAAGGCATCTTTGTGTCATGCCAATATAGGTTTTGCCACAACCAGGGCAAGCGACCTCGTATACAAGATTACTACGAGATAAAGGAGGAAGTTTATCTTTGTTGGAAACAAAATAAGAGAGATTTTTAGTGTCATAAATAGTGATGAACTTAACTGGTTTAGAAAGAAATCTTTGTATTTTATTAAGACATGATTTTACAAGAAAATCGCCACGGTTTCCGAGATAAGGAATACGAATCCAAATTTTAGGCAACATATCATCATCAGTGTCATGATTAACGGCATCGGAAGTAGAATTTTCAATATATTTGGTTTTAAGCTTTTTAATCAAAAAGTTTCCAACGCCATTAGGATAACCATTCCAAGACATAAAAGTTTTGATGGTTTCAATTTGTTGAAAAGTGTTTTCGAACTGCGAATTTTAAAAGCTCGGTAGAACAGAGATTTTACCCATGCAGTTTTGCGATGAAAAGGCTCAAAACTTGAAAAATGTGAATACTGACCGTTGAATACTGACACCCACACCGGTCAGTATTCACATTTTTCAAGTTTTGAGCCTTTTCATCGCAAAACTGCATGGGTAAAATCTCTGTTCTACCGGGCTTTTAAAATTTGCAGTTCGAAAACACTTTTCAACAATCAAATTGAAACCATCAAATCTTTTATGTCTTGGAATGGTTATCCTAATGGCGTTAGAAACTTTTTGATTAAAAAGCTTAAAACCAAATAATTTTTTATATTAATAATTCTACTTCCGATGCCGTTAATCATGACACTGATGATGATATGTTGCCTAAAATTTGGATTCGATTTTCTTTTAAAATCATGTCTTAATAAAATACAAAGATTTCTTTCTAAACCGGTTAAGTCCATCACTATTTATGACACTAAAAAACTCTCTTATTTTGTTTCCAACAAAGATAAACTTCCTCCTTTATCTCGTAGTAATCTTGTATACGAGGTCGCTTGCCCTGGTTGTGGCAAAACCTATATTGGCATGACACAAAGATGCCTTTCTGTACGTTTGAAAGAGCATGCAACAAGGCTCTCTTCTAGTGCAGTGGGCCAACATTTTTCTGAGTGTGAACATGCTCAATTCTTAGCTACTTTACAAGACCAGTTCATATTACTCAACGATCTTCCTTTGCCTTCTGACAACCGTCGTCTACCATTGAAAAACTTGTTTTCAACAGCTATACAGAATACTTCACATTACAAAATCTAACAACTACAACATTCTTGCTTTTCTTGAAGCACTGCTTATCAAACATAACAAACCTTTTCTTAACACTGGACTTAAAGCTAGTAAAGAACTACAACTGTTCACATATATAACACTTTAACTTAATCTTCTTCTAATTGTCGGGTCTTTCCCTTTCTATCTTATTCCTTTTAATATATGAAACATTGTTGTAAATATAGCTAAATAATCCATTTTCAATTATTACTATTTTCTTTATCATGTTTCGCTTCGCTTGGATAATCCTTCTTTCAGCCCACATGACAGATGCTCTCTCTCTGCGTTGTATATATATGTGTTGTAAAGTATTGTATTTCATTCTGTCTGAAGATGACTTTGAAATAAAGTCGAAAATTTACAGTCTCAAACTGCGTCTTGTTTTGAATTATATATTGAATTCTCAAGATGTCCTGTATTTTCGGAATTTGCTTTTTACTTTATGTACAACAGCGAATCACGCTCAGCCAAGATTTTAAAAATATGACAACATCACATGGTACGTGACCCCAGCATAGTTTTGACAAAATTTTGAAAAAAACCCGAAAATAATTCGCTTTTTGAAGAAAGAATGAACTTTTGAAGTTAAAACTTGTAGTAAAATTACCAGTGTTTGAAATGATGTATATTTTATATTGTTTTTGCTTGTAATTTGCGAAATATTCATACTCTGGTGAACGCTGTAATAAATTTCCGTTAAAACTCTTGCCAACCTTGTCATAATAATAAACAAAGTAGACTCGATGCACACCCGAGCGCCACGCGCGAGGGTAAAAATGTCGCCACGCATTTTTGGGCTGCCTATGATCAAAGACGAAACACGTTTACCCGGAATACTGTGCCGGGACACAGGCAGGTTTCAAAGACAATGAAACCATTTTGAATCTCAATAAATCTTCTTGAAGTCGTCTGACAATGCGTATCGCTTTATATCCCATTGTAACGAATTATATATCCACTTTAGTTCAACAGGCAAAAAAAAAGCAAAAAGGAAGCAAAATATTATGAATACGTTTTGATGCGAAGACCCGTTATATATATTGTGGGCGCATGTCTTGAATTTTTGCCCATGTGTGGCTTAGTGCATTAACTAAATTAATCAAATTTCAATTTGTAGGTAACCATGCCCTAATGGCCGAAAGTCCTACGTTTTACCGTGCATTTGGTCCATGTATGGATAGCCTTAGGGAAATGCACGAAAAAGGTCAGTTAAAACGCACAAAGACTAAAAACATGCTCCCTGCTTATAGAAAACCAATATCGTACTAACCTTTAGTCATCCAAGGTTATACATGTGTACCCGAGGATATGTATACCCAATTTAGTAATATGAAACGACTGCCAGATTTCTTGAGGCCTGTCTACACGATACAATTAAAGTGGTATACGTTCTTATTTTGAGTTTGCGTATATAATCGAGTGAACATTGCATTGTAAAATCGTGTCATGTGTAATACTATTGTACCTACTACAGTAGAACCTAGCGATGTCGAATCGCTTATCTTGAACTCTCCTGCTGTCTCGAAATTGAACCCATTCCCTGTGGTGTGCCAAAATTACTTCAACCTTTTTTACTCGTTTCTCAAACTTGGTTAACCTGAACTCCTCGTTGTCTCGAGTTAATGTTGCTTATCTTAACTGACAAGGTTATCTCCTGCAACTCTATAACGACTTAAATAAACTCAATTCGTTGATTATGTTAGTGATTAGTATAATTACATAGGTGATTATTGAAAATTGTCCACGCTGATTGGTTGCCGTTGAGGTGATTATAACGCATTAAAACACTCATTAATACTTCATAAAATGGCGGGAAACCATCTTGTTCTATTCCGGGGGTGAAAAAGGGCAAGGATATCCGTAGACGAGCAACCAATCAAATTGTGTAAAAAGCACTATCCACCTCCCAAGTATATATGCTAATAATTATTATTTCTTGTAATTTGACGCTGATACGTTTATCTCGAACCCCTGCTATCTTGAATTTTTTTATTTTCCTTGGCTGTTGGAAATAGCGGGATTCTACTGTAGGTATGGAGTATAGCTTCGCTATTGGCCTTGATCATTTTTATATCATTAAAAACTGAATTGAATACATTTTTCCATATTTTTTGTACCATAATCTGGTTTCACTAGGCATTTCCATATGTATACAGTCGAACCTCTACTTACGGACACCTCCCGGAAGCGGACACCTCTTGTACGCGGACACTGTTTTTGGGTCCCGGCCAATACGCTATTGTATTACTATATTTACAACCTCTCCTAGGGGGACACCTCCCGTAAGCGGACGCGGACATCAAAACAACCTTCCCAAACAACATTATAACCTCTTATAAGCGGACACACTTGATTTATTTTCTGTTAAATTAATAATTATGCCGCCTAGTTGACTTAATACAGTATTAGAATAGAAACATATGTGTTTGATATATTGTGTTATTAGAATGAGCTGATGACAGAATTGATACGGAAACTATTAATTCAATATTCCGTATTTTTGTTATTGTAGCGTCGCACCATTAGCAGTTACTGTTAATTTTTTCTTTATGAACCATTATAGTTTCTCATCCAACAAAGCATGTCCTGTCTTACGTATTTTGTTCTTCAACCAAGTCAAAGAAAATTGGTCGCCCCGGAACGTATAAACGCACGGAGTCTCAAGTCCGTAACCAGTCCGGCGATTTATTCGTTTTCCCTTTACTGTAACACTTGCAGAGTTAGGCACGTTTCAAAAATTTGCTTACGTACGGCGCCATATTGTTGGGTATATGACCCACAACATCAACAGTTTCATTAACAGCATTGACATGAGATAAGCCGCTGGTTTCTGTTGATCCCCGTGATGATTTAACAATTGCCAATGGTGGGGGTCTTTAGAGTAAATTTGCAATAATAACTGTCAATATTATAGTCATATTAACATCATTATTAAAAGAATCATGTTTCAACAATTACGGAATCAGTTAAATATTAACCAACCTCTCATGAGCGGACACCTCCCGTAAGCGGACACCAGGTCGTGGTCCCGAGGGTGTCCGCTTACGGGAGGTTCGACTGTACTTAATAGGTAATATGCCACTTAAGGATGAAGTGGTCTTCGCAAGAAAGTCGGATCCACCGTTATATACGCATGATAAGGAGCAGAAATGTGACTGGAGCATTATATTTAAAACACCGACCGTGCCTAATTTGGCATTTCCAAATGATCGGCAACTAAGCCCCATCGAACAGTTCAAGTACCTGCAGCAAGAAACGAGTGGAACGTCAGAGAGCATACTGGATGAGACACAGATGCTGGCAATTGAGAACTTTTTGGAAAACAGAGTGTCACTAATACAGGTGATTTTCGATGTTTCTTTTTTGATATCACGTGTTGGAAGGGAACGGCACGGAACCACATGTGTGATAAGAAGGTTTGTGTAGAGGGAAATTCGAGTCTGAATTTTATACATTTATTGGACCTAACCAGGAGCAGTTACGAAAAATGAATCGAACCTGCAGCCCTACGATTCAGGAGCAGCGCTCAAACGGCCAACAGATCTACAGAGAGCAATTGCCTATAGTTCATGCATGTTGGGCCGATGATAAATGTTTAACCGTTTAACATAATGTTGTAAATTGCAAAATCTGAGAAAAAGGTAGTTAGTTTGCAACTTATATTACTGTCTATCCGGTTTCTTTTGTTTATTTCTAGTGCGCAATTTTTATATACTGAATTAAATATTGGCAAAATGTGGTAGAAATTAAACTCCAATTCACCATGCACTGTCTGTTACACTGTAGGACAGTCAGGCAACTCAGAAATTCCGATTCTCAGTTCATGGCGGTAAATAATCTCTGCAATTGAATTTGTTATTTCAGGGACCCCCAGGCACTGGCAAGTCGTTCTTGGGTACAAAAATTTTACGTTTGATGCTTTCAATGGAAATACCTAAGCGTTTTGATGGTCCCATTTTGGTAGGTATTTAATGAAATGATGCACTGTACAGTGCATGGTTATAATTATTTTGAACCTTTCCATCTTTAGTTAGTATCATTCTTGATTCTGATTGGTTAAATTATTTTACTAGAGTGTGTTAAATACAGATGTGCCGATTAATTTTTAAATGGAGACGTTCGGGAACACGGTTTAATATAGTAGCCCACTGCCAGCTCTCGGTATTTTCACAGCGCTAACAGGTGACTTCTAAATTAGAAAGTCCGAGTTTTTCTCCGTAAATCGTAATCGATTGATCTATACGATGAATTCGTATTGTGGGTCTTTAAAGGACATTGGCAACCAAACTTTGTATTGCTTATATCTATTAGGTATACTTGCGGAATACTTTATTTTATATTTTGGCCGGTTTGTCGCGTTCAGTTGTTGAGAAAATGTAATAAAACGTTCAACAGTTGTCCGCCATTTTGAAAATAAACATTTATGCCAAAGCATACATCTGGCGTCATTAGCTGGGTAAACACAATTTCATGACTATAAAACAATATCGAGTATTACCACGCGTAGTGCTCTTTGAGCCAAAACCAAAGGCAGAAACATTTTACCAAGTATGTACCTTATTTGGAACACTATTTCTCATGGTATATATCCTAATCCGTGTTAAATAAACGCAGAAATTCGACTAATGCAATATTTTATGATCAATTACCACCTGTATATTATTGTAAATTGCGCCATTCCTTGCTTTCCCAGTCACTCGATATGTTTTAAGTGTAGACTTCTCTTGTTTGATTGCGAAGAGTATTGGCCAGTATAACGCTCAAAACTACATATTTTTAGCTAACATAACACGCACGCAATAGAATTCTCTCTTGTAGTTTTGGTGCTACCCATCTAATGACGTCACAAGGTTCATTGACCTTCGAAGGTCATTTTTTCCAAAATGGCGGCGAAACACAAAGTTTGCATGCATTTTACTCGTAGACTAAAATGTTCGAGAAGCAAATGATAACATTTTCATAGTTAGATTGTCAAGTAAGATTGAAATAACCAATAAAAATTTCCGTTGCCATTGTCCTTTAATAAAAATATTCGGTCTTGATATGAAAGATCGGGTTATGAATTTTTTTTAATGAAACAATCTTACACGATGAACAATTCAAAATCAGTGGCCCAGGGTTATGTACATAAAACATGCAGCTATACGAAACGTTAGTTCTTAATAAAGATTTTGAAATTTCTTCTTGTCCATTTACGTGCATATATTATGCTCGGCATTGGTTGTCATCATTTGATTTTTAAATTAATAATTTAATGTGTACAAAGACTGTTGCACGTATTATCTATACTGTACTTTTGATGCCCATTTGGTAATTTTTTTTCAATCTTGATAAAAAACTGAATTTCAATCTGTTTCCGTGGCATACACCATTAATTTCTGCGTATTCATGTTTGGCTTTCAGTGTCAGAGCCTGAAATAATCGTCGGTACAAAAAAAAAAGAAAAAACGTACATGTACCAAAGAGTTTACATATTTATTTTAAACCCTGGCAAACTTTCACTCCACCAACAAAAACATTTGTTTATACTTTGGCGTCATGTGCTGACGTGATTTCAAAATTATTTTCGTTACCAGGAAATAAAAAAATAGGGACGCGACGCGTACATGTATCAGCGAAAAAACTTGATTCACATTTTGTATACGTATTTTCTTGAAAGGAACTGAATAATGAAGATGACATGGGAGAATTGAAATATTTCATCATCACTTATTATAATATAATAGCAAATAAAATTTTAAAGTCAAACATAACATATCGAACAGGGCTGTACACAGTGCAGAGGGCAGCAGGGGAAACTCCCCCCCCCC